TATATCTGTAAAACCCCCCCCAACTGGGCAAACTCCAGTCCACAGCTCTCCCTTTCCTTCTCTTTTCCCCTTCCCATCCTGCAGACAGCACTGGGGGGTGGGTCCCTCTGGGAGAGAAGCTGCAAAGAGCCTCTCTGCCCCTACCAAACAGCAAAGGGGCGGGGGGGCACTAAGTCAGGGCACTTTCTGTAAGGCCCTATGAGTTACAGTGGGGAGCTAGATGTCTCAGCACCCTTTGAAAATACAGACTCCAAGTTTCAGGGACTCAATACAGCCAATTTTAGGCAGACTTTCATACAACGATGCCACCACCACATACACACCAAATTCCAAGCCCCCCAAAAATCCATGGAAATGCTATACTTTTTCAAGGAAGTTGCAATACATAATTTTAAACATGGACCATACAATGCATTTTCCCTTAATCTCACTCTCAAACAGTCAATTAAATAAAACTTCACAAGGTGTCAGCCAGAGGGGGATGCACAAGCAATTTCAGTTTGAAGAATTAAATTTCAGAAAGTGTTTAAGACCCTGAAAACAGGATCTTCTAATGGAAAAACAAGTGAAGCAACTTTAATAGGTGTCACTACCAGTTGTCTTTAGAATGTATGCTATTGTAACATTGCTGGTCACTAGAAGATAACCAAGTGAGTCCAATATTGTTGCATCCAGATTTAAAAAAATATCCACAAAAAGTTTGCGTTATAAATTTACAAAACCATTGGTTTGTGTAAACATTAAGAAGTTATTCTCCATCTATATAAAATGTTTGAGCTGCTGTCAGGTTTGACCAGAGCCTACACACTGCATGGCTGAATGCAGTTCTGAAGAAATTAGGAATTTAAGAGCCTACATGACTGTGAATCACTATCAAAGTCAGGATAATTCACAAATTTTTCTGGTTCAAGAGTTAATGTGAAGTTCATAAAGCCTCTTTCCCCAAAAGCAGTTTTGCAGTTGCTGGCTCCAACCAAAAAGTTGAATAGGAATGATTCCCTCTTCGCAAACTCATCAGTTTTGCACATATTAAACACACTAAACCTGTACACTACTCTCTCAAGCCATTTCAAGCAGGACCAAAGTTCTTGATAATACAGCTTGGCACTTCCACTCCGATCCTCTTAGTTGGCGTTAGGCTTGCTCTGCTGGCCTTTCTAGCAAGTAGAGAACAAGTCGATAAGAACATGCACATACCAGAATATTTTAAAATAACCATCTAATTTCTAGCAACCTTCTGCCACCATTTCTTGTCACTCCCTGTAGTTCTGCAAGCTGCCAACCTTAACAATTACATTGGACCTTAAATGGCAGGGCATGGGGACTTGCAGAAGTGAGCAAGTTTCTCTGACATTCATTCTCTTTTCTTCTTTGCATAGTCCTGAAGGGAAAGAAGCTAAGTCTTCCAATGCCAGTCTGAAGACACTTCCATTACGCATGAAGCTCCTGCAGATGCAGTATCAGGATGACAGCTATTCTTTTCTGCCCCTTATTGGATTTAAAAAAAAAAAAGACACAAAAAAAAGGCTCAGCTACAAATCTCCATCCAGAATCAGGAAAACAAGAGGCTTGGATAGCAGAGAAGATTTTGATTTCTTCATGACTTTCCTCTTGAGTGTTTTTTTGGGGGGTTGTTTTTGTTTGTTTTGGGGGGGTTTTTTTGCTTAAGTGAATTTATGCTTATAAATGGTATTGGCTATTGACGAAGTCCTCTCTTCTCACAGTAGGTGTAGCAGTGCAAGCTCTCTCCCTTCCAGCACCTATTTTCAAAGTCTGCTTAACAGATCACCTCAAGGAAGGAGGCAAGATTTGTCTTCACCCCCATTCAATAGTCTTTGTTTAAAGACTGCCATGTCTAAAGACTGCCAACAGTAATGCAATTGGGTGATATAGGGGTATGTTTGCTAACAACTAAACGAAGAATACCAATCTATTTCACAGCTGGTCCTGGGCAACAAGTGATAGATTGACTTTACAATTAATACCATATAAATAGTTATGAACTAGCAACCCAAGAGATGGAGTCACCAGTTCTCATGCTACCTAAGGCCTATAATATTAAGGGAATCTCTTCGTTTCAAACTCCAAGGATGACCACAGAGGACCTTTCAATACTGGAAGTACTCAAACATTCCTCTCCATTCAGTGTCTTCCAATGATAAGTTTCTGATGTTCTACAGAGAGTAAGCATTTTTATCAAGTTATACTAGCTTACTGACAAGTGCTACCCCGGACTGCATCTTTTATATAAATTGGGGAGGGAATGGAAAATGGGGGTGAAGACAGTTTGCACTGCGTAAATAAAGACAAGTTCAAAATTTTATTGACAACAGTGTTTTTATTTATACCTACAAAAGAAAACAAGATGGTATCAAAAGGACAATTTACAAAGAGTAACATAGCTCTTAGTATCCTGTGTCTGAACACCACAGATCTATGAATCTCTCAATTCAAGTCTTCGTTAATACAACAGGAATGTGTTCAGAGACCAGCAAGGGTGTGAAACAGAGCACTGATCCCACACAAAAGCCACTTAGCCTTCTGTTGTTGAGAGAAGTCCACACAGTACATTGTTTCAGGAAGTGGGAGGGGAGGAGAGATGCCTGACTCATTTGACACTCCCACAAACATTTACAGATTGAAAACAATGCCAACTATAGTAGACAATAATGTTGTAACAAGGGCTCTTTAGCTGGTACATGGAACAGAGCAACAAGCACCAGGTGGGACAGGGGCAGCAGCACATGCCACTGTGCATAAAACGATCAGGTTAGCACTCAAGGTTGGCCATGAGACTCTGGACTGCAGTTGACCTCAAGTTACGTTAAAACATTGCAAGACTTAGCATAATTGTTTTACACCTGCGCAAGTCCCTGAAGGAAGTGAAAGCTATAGCAGACCACAAGGCAATCCTGGCAGTCCAGAGAGCCTTTTAGGCCAGGTGAGCAGTACGTCCCATCCCCAAGTCCCTCCATACCCATAGATACATTTCTGCATCTAACTCACAAATGAAAAAATAGCTCCACACTTGCTTGTGGGGGAGGCAAAAGACAGACCAGTCAGTGCTTGAACAATGAAGAATTCCTTTCTGGCCTTCATTTTAAGACAAGCGCCAAATTTCTTTGCCAAACCAGTAATTAATTTAAAAAAAATAACCTTGGTTTATCTTAAGGAAATCAGAAGATGGGTTGAGGGGGACTTACAAGGTCTAACAGTCCACTCTGCACTCTCCCCTCAGATTGTGCCAATAACCTACCTGTACGTTCCAAACAAACAAATTACTAGTTTCCCCCAATTATATTCCAGGGGCTGGGGGGGGCGGGGGGGGCAGGGCAAGGAGGAAGCACAAGGGGAAGCAGGGGAGAAAAAAAAAAAGAGGGGAAGGAAGGGAGGCAAGGGGAAGAACTAAGAAAAGGTTTTCTTTATAAGCAAGCTCTTTCTCTGGACTATACAAATTCCACTCTGCCACAAGTGGGTTGGTCTGCCTTTGTTTGTCCATCCTGAACAATTCCAAACAAGAAAAACATGCACTAACTCTTGTATGCCCTGCAAATCAGGACATGAATCTGATGTTCCACAATGTTATTCAAACACAAGAGCAGCCAACTCTTACGATCTACTATCCCTCAACTGTCTGCTAATGGAAGTTACACAGTCGACGACACTTTGCTACTAAAGGGAAAACCCTCAAACCTACCTTTAGCCTGTAGAATAAAACAGGATTGAATTAAAATATTTATAAAAGTTCCACTCTTCTCTACCATTTTCTATAATGCTACCTACCTGCAAGAGCTGAGCTCAAAGGTTCTGCTGGACTGGGGAAATGCACTCAAAAGCCAAGAAAAGCACTGATCAGACCAATAATGAAGGAAATGTAGCTTCAGAATCAAAACATCCTAACCAGCTCTCCCCATATTACAAGGGGATATTCCAGCCAGTGCCCACCCCTATCTCCCTTGAGCTTTAAGTGAGAAAACAACATGTCATTCAGCACAGCAGCACTCTGAACCTGCGCCATGGCCAGAGGTGTCTTGGGACATACAGGCAAGACAGGATGATCATCTTAATTCTTATCAGTATTTCTGTCATCTGCTGAGCTCTTTCTTCAGTTAACCCACCAACAGGAATATGGGGGCAGAGCCTGATTTAAGAGGTCTATAACCAATTTAATCCCTGCAATGTAAATCAACATAAGAACTTCTTCAATGAGTTTTTGGTTTCTGACACTTGGGACTTTACTCCCCAGACCCTACCACATGCTGCCAGTATCAGTGAAGCTACTTCAGGCACTACAGAAACACGAATCAGAACATGGGAGTTCACACTTAACCCACAGAGCAATTCAGAATGCCTCCAAGCTGAGCCAAACAAGCAGAGTCTTCCTGCAGAAATCTACCCAAACCAGGCTAAAAGCATCATAATTCAGCTGTTTTAAAAATGAAAAGGTGAAACCCTCCCAAGGGGAGGGAAAGAGCACTGTTTCCTTGAATTTACATTAAAGGTAGTGCTTTTAGCTCCCCAAAAATTCTCCACCTCTTGATACCTCCTGAAATAAAATGAGCACATAATAGCACAGAGGCTTCCTCCCAGTTAGAGTGTGTTTTCATACACAAGCCTCAGACACCAAGAAGATTGGGCTGGGACTTATCTGGCCTTCTACCCATATTCTTCAGAGGGGTGAAAAAATTGAAAAGAAAAAACTGTCTCAATTTCTTCAACATGCAAGACAAAAAAATAAAATAAAATAAAAATAAAAATAAAATAAGTCAATTTTCCAGTCAACTGTATATAGATTAAAAAAAGAGAAAAGAAAAGAAAAAAAAAGGACAACAGCAAGATCAGTCATGTGGACCAGGGGTCATGTTTTGGTGGGCAGGAGGATTGTGGATGGTGAATTCTAAATCTAACCTGCATGGGATAAACACCACAATGGGAGAAAGAAAAAAAGAAAGAAAGAAAAGGTTCCTTTAAATGTAAGAAGTTTACACTGGTCACCTGCAGTGAGCAGTCTCATTTGCGTGTAGGAGGAGGGGGTGGGGGAGGTGGCGGATACTGATAGGTGGCAGTCTGTCCCATGTAGCCTATCATGTTAGTGCCTGGAGGCTGAGGAAACTGTTGCGACATGAGAGGCTGTGGCTGCTGGCCTGACCGACCTATCCCTGCATACTGCTGTTGAGTCGAGCTTTGTGAGGTTCTCCCGGCAGCAGCAGCAACAGCAGCAGCAGCAGCTGTAGTGGTGGCACTATAGCCACTAGCAGCACTGTATTCTGCAGTGCCATAACCACTTGTGCCATAGGCGGCAGCAGCTGCTCCATAGCTCCCTTGAGTGTAGCCATATTGGCTCTGGGCTGCCCCAAATGCAGAATTTGGGCTTCCATAGGCACTACCATAGGTCTTGTTTGCTCCATTGGTGTAACTGTCACTACGTTCACGGTCTCTGAAGCTGCCAGAGTCTCTCCGGCCTTCTTTTACTCCCCGGAGCCTCCGGTCACACTCCTCCTGGTACATCAGATTAGGGTTGTTGGAGGAACTGGTGGTACGGTAACGAGACCGACCTCCTGCGGGTGGAAACGGTGAGGTTCAGTGCTGTGCTTAAACTCAGTTACAACAGGTCTCCAAAATCCTGGTTTTTTTTTTTTTTTCTTCCACAAACTGCTCTTCCACCCACCTACCATTCCACAACAGGACCAGAAGTCATGGCACAAAATTCTTTACTGAGTCACTATTCCTACACAAGTTTGTCTATGGCTTCCTTTTTCTTAATCGAAGCTCAAATTCTGTACCCTGGACTCTCTCATAGATAGAGCAAAACAGGAAAGAAAAAGAAATGCAGAATACAGCACTGACTTGAAACTCACTGGGCCAAAGTTTACTTTGTTTCTTTGCAGACTAGAAGCTAAAACTGTCTCTGGAAAAAGGCCAAATGTAACACACTGCTACCTACAATTCTGCTAGACAAGAAACAGGAGGACAGTGCTGCTAGAGACTCTCATCAGGAAAATGAATTTGAAATTAAAGCACTGAACCTCCTTCAGTTGGTTAAGTGGACTGTAGAATGAATGTTTGCTCAAGATTAGTAATAAGTATTTTATATTCAGCCTATCTGTAGAAGAGTAAAATGGCAGGAGTTTGACACTGATTAAGTCTGCTCAGGTTCTTTCCAGCTTCCCTCCATGCTGTGGCACCTATTCTTTCTACACCCTTTCAACATCCATTTACCTCCACCACCACCTCCTCCTCTGTGGTCCACAAGCTGCATCAGTTTTGGATTGATGGCCTGGTTAGCTTCCTCCAACACTTTGATCAGCTCCCTGGCTTGTTTCAGGTTCCCTGGTGTGAAGAACGTGTAGGCAGTACCCTTGTTGGTGCTACGGGCAGTACGGCCAATTCGGTGCACATAATCCTCAGAGCTGTTTGGATAGTCGTAGTTTATCACAAACTTTACGTCTTCCACATCTTGCGAGTTTCCCAGTTGGCGAAGCACAGTGAAGGGGTGGGGTTGAGGAAGGGAAGAAGGAGAGAAGGGCGTGCCAACGAAAGGTGGGGAGCACGAATGCAGGTGACAGTAATAAGAAGAAAAAAGCCAAAGTTAGTAATTGCATGTAATAAAGATAAGACAGACTCATCCCAAAAGAGTATGTAGTCTGAATGCTAGACATGCTTGAGCAGAGAAAAATGCCCTGAAAAACTGATTGCAAATCTTAAAGCAGGTTTCCCTCCATTCAAATCTATCCTCCACTTACTGAATCCTCTTATCACGAGGGGTTCTTGCACACTGCCAGTTTTGAAATAGAGTGAAATTCAGTTTTCTTTCTGTAACATTAGCTGCAGCAAGTGAAATGCCACCTCTGTTGTGGACTCAGCAAGTTAGAGTGGAGGAGGGAGAGATCTGCCATAGCAAGACTTTTACTCTGTTGGGAGAAGTCCAGGAAAGACTAACAGTAATTAACTCACTTACCTTCAAATTAAACACAAGGGAATTAAAAATCTGTCTTAATTTTACTTTACACACATTTTTTAAGTTTTACTTTATACTGCATAATCTCTGCAAAATTCAGCAATACTTTCCCTTCTCTTGACATTTAAGCAATTCCTGACATGAAATAGTATTCACATTCTGCCAATTTAAAAAACAAAATGCAGACCACAACTAAAACTTCTTAACCTGCCTTCTTAGTTATTATAACACATTGCACTAACATTTCACCAGCTTACTCCTGACAAACTTAGGGGTTTTGATAATCTTCCACTTCAGTCTAACATTTAAAGCTTTTAGATATTCTGCTTAAGTGCTCAAAATTGCAAGTTGTACTATACGCAAAAATGCTCTTAAACCTTAGCAGAGACATTAAAATCTTGCTTTTCCACCAGTAAGTTTTTCCTTAAGTGTATGGGACAAACTAAGTAAATGTTAGTGTAATGCTTTAATTAAAATATCTTTAGTAACATACGCATTAAAAGAAGCACAGTATCACAGTAAGAGTCCTAACAGCTCACAAAAAAAAAATCTGCATTTTAAGAAGAATATTTAGAAAATATCCAAGATAAAACACAGATTTTTGTGATGTTGTTGTTGTTCTTGTTAAAAGAGAGAAACATTCTCTGTTTTTTACCAGACCGATGCACACTCCCTCCTCCTGTGGGAAACCGCTGCAGCCGATCCCGTCTCTTTGCCTTTTATTTTTGGCGGCCTCCTTTCGAAAACTCCGCCTTCTGACACGGGACCACTGGAGCGCGGGGAGCATGCATCAAGGGTCCATGGCAGCGAGAAGTCCCCACACACGCTCGCTCTGTGAACTGGCTTAGACGCTTCTCTGTTGCCCCATTTGGTTGTGAAGCGCCGGAGAACCTGGGTTCAGGTAAAAGTTTCAGGTCCTCCAACGCTTTCTGTGCCCCACCAGGGGTTAATATGGGCAATTGTCAAAAAAATGAAGCTACAAAAAATGACATCCAAAGGGTCAGACTGCATCTATTGCCCAGACTGCATCAATTTCAAAGAGGGGCTAAGGGGTGGAAATAAAAATGAGTGTGTTGTGTCAAGGGGGACTTTACGTCTGTTTCTTATTACAGCAAGGGTGGGAGGGGGGCTCCTCAGTCTTTGCTGACTCCCAAGTCCTGAATCACACCAAAAAAAAGGAAGTGAAAAGGCAGATTTCACAGGGGGCTGCGCGAGTCTCCAGCTAGGGTCCTTGGCACAAAGATTTTTTGAAAGGGGAAAATATAAGTTAAGATATAGGTAAATATGAGACATCTTCACAGCCAGGGTTTAACTAGAGTCTGACAAGCAGCAGGCTGTATGATCCTTTTCCAATCCCATTCTGTACATCCATTAGCAGCAGACAGTGGATTACCACAGGGGTTACAAGAAAGTGCTTTCCTGAAAGAAAGCACGGGGAACTGTAGCTACCAGCATAGATGCTAATGACTTGGTTTGATTTGAGGGGGGTGGAGATGGGATGGGAAGGAGAAGTAAAAGGCAGGAAATGTCTTCCAGATTAGGTGGGGTCCTGTGTATGCACATAAGTGGCTGAAGAAAGACCAGAGCAAGTTCTTTCCAGTCTGCCATGCTCCAATGTATTTGTGAACAGTCACAATTTTCCTGCACTTTTAGAAGATAGTGTAGCAGGATCAAGAACTGAAACTGTAACAGCTATTTGGACAGCTGCTCAGGCAGGGCCCTTTGTCAGACCACCAAACCACTTTACAGAACAGACCAAGTCTCTGATCATTACTCAGGAGGGAAAAAACTAGCAAACATGCTGTCTATGGAGCTGCTTCGACCATCAATGTAGATATGCCCCCGACCCTGCACTGAGAATGATCTGCAGCTGATATCAAAGCTTCTGTTAAAGAAAACAAAACAAAACAAATTCAATGTTTTTACTTTAGCAGAGTGAAGTGTAACCAAAAAAAAGTAATTAAAGAAAAAAAAAAAAAAAATCAGTGCAGAGGGAGGACATCTCCTTCAGGGAATCATTACAAAGAGATTATGGGACTCAGAACTTACCTGGAAGGAGTTTTTTTATGAAAACCTCGTTCCATTGGGAAGAAGGAAAGCCCTGGTGACTCAGCCAAAAAGCGCGCACCCCTGTTTTATGTTATTTAGGTAGAGCCTTCACTTTCCAGGATCTTGGAGGAAGTCGTCCAGGAGTTTGCCACTTAAGTGACTTTAAAGCAGCAAACTCAGGGCCCCAATATGAGCAGAGATGTTCAGTAACAAGAAACAGACTCTGGTACCCTTCCCCCACAGCTTGAAGTGGGTGAGGAGCAGTGGGGAAACTGTTTTCTGAGGTAGTAACCAATTGAGTAGTTTTGGGAGAGCATTTTTTGGGGCGGGGGAGAGATGGGGGGTTCTGTTTTAAATGTCTAGGCAAGATGCACAAAGAAGCTACCAGCACATAGCAAGCCTGTTTAAAAAACAAAAAAAATGCTGCTACAGAAAGCAGCTCTT